CAGCCGGCTTCCCCGCTCCGATACCTGGGAGCTCTGCCGCACTCAGGCACCCCCGGTCTTTCTGTGACCCCGAGGGTCCTGAGAGCACACTGTCCCGCGAGGGTTCCACCCCCCGCTTAGCCACTGGAGCGACGTCCCTCAGCGGAGCTGACTTTTAAAAGTTCCGATTTTGTGCTCCGCGGCTCTAGCACTTGCCAGAAGCGGCCGACGGAGGCCCCCTCCCCCGCCGTCTATCCTCCCGAATATCGCCTCGGATTCACTTCTCCGCACGTCCTACCTTCCAGAAAGTGGTCACTTTTCTGTTCAGAGAGTTGTTACTCTTCTTATCTTCGATCTCCTGTTGAGTTCGTAGGTGTTCAGAATGGTTTGATCCCTATTCAGCTGAATTGCTGAGACCAGACGAAATCTAGGTCTCCTACTTCTCCGCCATCTTGCTCTGCCCCGGAGATTTACTTATTTTTGAGAGAGAGAGAGCATGGGGTGGGGAGGGGCAGAGGGAGAAAGAGTCTTAAGCAGATTCTGCACTAAGCGCAGAGCCTGACACAGGGGTCGATCTCACGACCCTGAGATCATGAGCTGAACCGAAATCAAGAGTTGAACGCTTAACTGACTGCGCCACCCAGGCGCCCCTAACCTTACCTTCTTATAAACCTTTTTTCTTCCTTTTCTATGAAGGGAAAAAGAATATTTACATTTACTAAGCACCTACTGAGTGCCAAGTGCTACAGCTGGCCTCTTTTTTTAAATTTTTATTTATTTGAGAGAGAGCAGAGTGAGAGAGAGAGAGAGAGCAAGCACAGGCTGGGGGGGAGGAGCAGAGGGAGAAGCAGCCTCCACCGCTGAGCAGGGAGCCCAACGTAGGGCTCAATCCCAGGACTCTGGGATCATGACCTGAGCCGAAGGCAGACGCTTAACTGACTGAGCCACCCAGGCGCCCCACAGTTGGCCTCTTGATGTCCGGAGTGGTGGGCATTAGTATCCCCATTTTATACATGAGGCAGATGAGGGAACTGAGACTGAAGGTCATGCAGCTGATAACCAGGTCTCAGTTTCAAGCAGAGACTTCCTGTTTGACATTTGACTTTCCCCGGGCAGGAAGGCAAAGGTTTTTCTTGGCTTCTGTGTCTTTCACCACAGCGATGCTACATAACACAGAACCACAAAACCCGTAGCATAAAGCCAGAAACATTTACTTTTGCTCCAGAGTCTGTGGGTCAGCTGGGCCGTTCTACTGCTCCAGGGCCCCGCGTGGGTGGTCTCTGCTGGACTCACTCATGCACCTGCCGTCGTCTGCAGGGCCACCAGGCCCGGCTGACCCAGGCTGGTGTGGGCTTGTCATGTGGCCGCCAGGCAGAGTTCCAAGAGCATGAACAAAGCACATGGCTCCTTGAGGCCTGGGCTCAGAACTACCATGCGGTCATTTCTGCCACATTCGTTCGGCTAAAGCAAATCATCTGGCCAGCCCAGAGCCCCCACAAAGGCAAGCGAATGCCATCTCCTGCTGGGAGGAGCCATAGAGTCACACTGCAGGGGGTATAGGTATTGGGAAGGGAAGAATTGGGGCCAATTTTGCAATTAGTCTGCCTCAGTTCCTGCCGTAGGGCTGCTCTGCCCCCTTGGGGGCACCTGCTTTCTGTAAGCCTCCGCTCCCCCCTCAAAGCCTGCTCTAGGAGCCTCTCCTCATTCACACGAAGGGGCGGGACCACTGCTGCAGAGAATTTAAAAGGACTCTCTTCCCCAGGAGAAGGAGGGCAGTCCTTCTGGCAGGGGTTAGGTCTTCCACCCATCTGATGAAGCTAAAGCAGGCGTGAGGGGAGCCTGGGGTGGGGTGGGGGCAGCGGGCCTTCCAGGGGTCTTGGAAAACACACAGATCCTTCTCCGCCTACACTTGAGATTGGTGCTTCTTGTGGATTCCCCTTTGGAATGGGCTCCTCCTTGCCCGGCCCCAAGCATCGCCCCCCCCCCCAGGAGCTCGGCAGCTCACCTTCCCAGCGGCCTCTGCAAGGACCTCTCTGGCCTGTGTGCTTGTGGTTTCCAGGGAGGAGGGTGGCGAGGACAAGTCCATTTCTGCAGGACTCCAGGGACAAGCTGGCCTACACAGGAAGCTGGAGGAGCGGGGAGGTGCTGAGTGGGGTGGAGTGGAGGAGGGCAAGTGAGGGCTGGGCAGAGGTGGGAAGAGCTGCTGGATTCCTGGAGGACAGGGACAGGCCTGAAAGCTCATGAAAAAAGAAACAACACGCTGAGAAGAAACTGGAGAGACGGGGGTTTACAAATCCAGCCTGAAAGATCAGAAATAAGAAGACAAGCCCGGGGAGGCCGATGTTTGCACCCCCTGGAGCCCAAATCAGGCCATGCTTGCCCTGCTAACTCGCTCAGTGCGTGCCCGGGGCCACCTTCCGCCAGCACATAACTCATGAGCGCCCCCTAGGATCCTTGCGAGGTGGTGGTCCCAGAGCTCAAACCCTGAAGTGTCTTGTCTGGGAGGGAAAAGAAACTCCTGATTCCACTCTCCACTAGGGAGGTGGGAGAAGTATCCCCAAAAGAGGCACCTGCCCAGTGTGGGACTTTCCAGGTAGAATGGATTGTGTATATTAACACAATTGTGTGTATTAAGCTTGCAGGTAACAGCCAAAATTTCCATAATTCTTCCCTGCCAGAGGAGAGATGAACAGGTGCCCCTGAGAAAGATAGCATCTGCCTTTGGTTTGGGACAATAAGTGAAATAGTACTAGACAGGGAGAGGCCCATGAAGGCAAATCCATCCCCAAGGTGGGAAGGCCCTGGGCAGCCGAGCCCGGTCCAGTGACCACTAGGGAAAGGCAGGCACGGGGAGGCCCCGTGACCACACCCAGGTCGCACAGCTGGGCTTTGCACTTGGGTCGGTGGGAACTGCCAGGCCCTCAACCACTTCAGCCTTCTCCTTCTGTCAGTTGCTCAAGAAAAACAAAATTACAGAGTCTTTTGTTTCAAGTCTTGGGAGTAGAGCTCATTTCTATGAGACATTTTCCTTTCCTGTCAATTGAGGCCATTGTGCAGGAGCCCAAAGGGCCTTCCAGCACTAATTCTGTAGCAAACGGTCGGGCTGAATTGTCCAAAAACAAGTGGGAGTGTTCCAGCCCAAACAGAAGAGGTTGTCTAACAGGGACCTGAACTCACGGGACAAAACCCCGCAGTGTGAGAAGATTCAGGGCCAGAGCAGGGGGTGCCGGGGAGGGCTGAAGCCGCTGCACCTGTGGGACCAGGTGTCAAGGGGAAGTATGGTTCCAGGATGACCACGGCCTGTATCTGCCTCACAGAACCAACTCATTCCTGTCCCCCTTCCTCCCTACGCCCTCCCACACTCACGGTTGAGGTCACGCACCTGGGACACCAGGCCTTCCCAGGGAAGACCAAAAGAGAAAACAAGGCAGGAGGCAAAGCCAATGTTTGTAGAGGATATTTGCCCAGGTTTTGTTATCAGGAGATTACCATGCACCACTGTTTACGCAGAATCCTCCCGATGAAGGCTTGGCACCAGGTGTCCCAGGAGGCTGTGGTGAGGACAGTAGTCTGGGACCTGAAGGGACAATGTAGGCAAGCATGCTGGTTCCCCTGTCTCAGGAGGGCCCAAGGAGGTTTGTAAAAGCACAGATTTGAGAACCCTGCCCCATACCGGTGAAACCAGAATCTCTGGGGGTGAAGCCCTAGAGGCTGCCCTGTGAACAGATCCCCTCAGATGTGACAACAGTGTGGATGCCGTTTCTATAGATGAGAAAGATGGAGAGAGGGGCGCCTGGGCGGCTCAGTCGGTTAAGCGTCTGCCTTCGGCTCAGGTCATGATCCCGGGGCCCTGGGATCGAGCCTCGCATCAGGCTCCCTGCTCAGCGGGGAGTCTGCTTCTCCTGCTCCCCGCCCCCCACTTGTGCTCTCTCTCACTCTCTCTCTCAAATAAATAAGTAATCTTAAGAAAGGAAGGAAGGAAGGAAGATGGAGAGAGGGAAGGACTGGATTCTTCTTACCCTGGGTCTGCAGCAGGCTTGGAATGGGGCCTCAGGTCGATGACTTACCCAACCTAGGTCTCAATTTATTTCATTTTAAAATGAAAACAATTCTGCTGGCTTATCCAAATCGGTATGTGAAGTGTACAGACCCCCGGAAATAGTCCAGGCATCACGCGACCTAGGCAACCCAAGTATTCCGTTATGTCCATGGCTCCCCAACGGGCCAGTTGGAAATATTACACAGGCCTGCTCCCTGCCTTCTGGGAACTTGCAGGGCAAGGCAGAGGGAGTGATGCATAAATTAAAGTCCCCCTTAGTTCGGGCTGCTTCTGCCGCCCCCAGCCCTCGTCCTCTTGTACTGGCTTCACTTCAGACTGCCCAAGCTGGAGTGGGCTAAGCCAACTTCTTCCAGCCTTTCCCTCCTTGTTTTGTTTTTGTTCTGTTTTTTCCTTAATTTTTCAAAAGTCTGGAAGAAGGGGACTTGGGTTGGGATGATACCATTGTTCTGTCACTTCTAATTTCATTCTGTTAACAATTTTTTGAATCACATGGGTAGAAGCTTTGATTTTGGAAAAAATGGTGCACTTTTAAGTTTTGACTCCAGAACATCATTTCAGCTCAGCTGTAAACACTTCTAGAGGCTGAGTATGAAAGAGGAACTGCCTGCCCAGGCTCCCACTGGGAACCCAGAGTCTTCACTCCCTTCCTGGTGCCTGATTTCAGAGACGAAGAATTTTCAGGGTGTGCTGGGAGGCAGGGGGCTGCCACTGGCTTAAAAGCAGACAGTGCAGAGCCGCCCGGCCCTTCTCGCCCTTCCTCCCTTCTCCACTCCCTGGCACCTTCCATCACCTGGAGCCGAACTGGGAAGGCTGGTTGTTGACAGCTGGGCAATTCGCACAATAAAGTTTAACGGTTTACATCCCCTTGTACGACTCTGTCAATGTTTTCCACGGCTCACCTTCTCGGGGGCCTGCTTCTCACACTCCTACTGACTCGCTCCTTCTTCTCTTTCCCTTCAAGCATGCAAACGCAAAGAGCAAGAACCAAACAAAGACAGGAACAATTCCCAGAAGAAATCCCGCCTGGTGTTCACCGACCTCCAACGCCGAACACTCTTTGCCATCTTCAAGGAGAACAAACGGCCGTCCAAAGAGATGCAGATCACCATTTCCCAGCAGCTGGGCCTGGAGCTTACGACCGTCAGCAACTTCTTCATGAATGCCCGGCGCCGCAGCCTAGAGAAGTGGCAGGACGATCTGAGCACAGCGGGCTCCTCGTCCACCTCCAGCACTTGTACCAAAGCGTGATGGAAGGACTCTCGGTTGGGCACAGGTCACCTCCAGATGAGGACAACCGACACAAAAGAAAACACAAAGGAAAAAGACACCGGATTCTTAGCTGGGGCCCTTCACTGGTGATTTGAAAGCACAATTCTCTTGAAAAGAAACTTCTATTCTAGCTGTAATCATAGGCCAGGTGTTCTTGTTTTGTTTTGTTTTTAATGGCTATGGAGTCCAAGTGCAAGCTGAAAATTAATCTTTTTGAACCAGACCTCGTCCTCTGAGCATGCTAAGCATCCCAGAAATCCAAATGGGGGGACTTCCTGGAGCGAGTTGATTTCAGTGTGGTGTCAGGCAAGCTTGGGATCCCTTCAGATGTCAACAGTCCCACTTTGGGCCCTGTTGCAGTCAGAGTTCCCACGTGTCATGGTGGGAATTTGTCTGTGTAAGGATTCTGAGTTTGGGCTCCCAAGATGCTACCATGAGAGATTCTTCTAGCAACAAGAATGACCTCATCCAAGTGCTTAGCCTCATCATACCACAGTACACCAAAGCTCACAGCCATAACATAAAAACATCAGAATGATAATTACTGAGCACAACTTTTAAATACGGAAATTAAAAAAAAAAAAATCTGAGGACCTGTTTTTCCAACTCAGGCATCGTTTCATTGAATGGTTTAGAAAGCTTTAAGTTGATCCAGTTTACAATTTTCTTTTCCTTACCTCCTGGAAATCTCACGTGGTCTTGGATCCATCAAAAAAAAAAAAATCAGTTCTCTTGAGCTCAACGTATCAAGCACAACGTAGATAAACAGAGAAGTAAGGAAGGTTCTGGATTCACCACATCTGGATTTTCAAGACGCTGATTGTGAAGTCATTAGGGAATCGTTGGGAATATGGCTTCAAGCACATTTTGCAGTTTGCTACAAATTCTGTTTGTACATAATGCAGACGCACACTCAGGAGGCCAATTTAACTGTTACGGTACATGGAGCAAATGCAGCATTTTAAAAGATCTAGATTTTTTTTTAGATCATTGATGTATCCTTCTCGGTTATTAGTCACCTGGTTCCTCCTATTGTGCATTGTAACTACCACATGATTCATTCTCACTCTTTCGGATTTCAGTTGTTTCTTCATCCATCCCATCGGTAGGGACGTTTTTCAGTGTTTTCTAGCAAGAAAAAAAAAAAAGAAGTAATTCAAACCACCATACATGTTCTTCATGAGGGTCATCTAGTCCCAAATCTCTTCCATTGTCGAATCATCCTTGCAAAACAGCTGAGTAAATCTGGAGAAAACACAGCACACCAAAGAAGCAGAATACTGCAAACCAAAGACATTTATTACTTGCCATTTTCTAGCCTAAAAATACTGTGATTACTTTTAGAAATCAGAAAACCTCTGCAACTCCGAATGGCATTCAGCTCTTGCATTTGGCTCACCATCGGGCTGAGCGGACCGGCTAGCCAGGCCACCCAGGGAGTGGCTTTGCCACGCCAGCTCTGGGTCCTGGCTGTCACCTTCCCACAGCATGCGGAAGAGCGCCCACAGAACTCTGGGAGGTTGCGAAGGTCACAATGTGCATATTTACCAGTGAATGGCCCCAGGTGGGCCCCATGGGGGTGTTCGAAGCAAGCCAAACGCTGCAATGATTCTTTACAGACACTTGAGACTGACTTTTTTATGAATTACTTAATCGAAACCAAAGAAACTTTTTCTGCACCTACTTCTGCAACAAACAAAACTGTTCCATTAAAATGAATAAATAAATAAATACGTAAATCAGTGAAAATCACCACCAACAAGAAGGAAGCACGCCAGAAAAAAAAAACAAAAACAAAAACAAAAACAAAAACAACAAAACAGCGAGACACACTGTGTTTAAACAGACCTCTTGGGACATTTTTTGGAAGCAGATTTTAAAGAAAGGGTTGAGGCAGGAATAGATAGAAGGAAAGCCTCGGCGGCTCCTGCCTCATTTGACAACTCACACGGTAATCTTAAAGTTGAAGATTGTCTTTAATTTGTGCCTATGCAGTTTTTCAAAAGAACACAGAACAGAGCAACAGAAACCTCAACAGCTACAGTACCAAAGATGAGGATTTCTCACATCTTTTGTTCAGTTCATTATCTGCTCTTGTCTGGCTAGAGTACTAATAGCGTCATTGATCTGTGTAAAGGTAATCAATTTTGTTTCTGAGCAACAAAAGGCAAGGGTCATTGATTTGATTTTATTGTTTCCCTTTAATTTTGTTTTATGGCTTTCTGCCCCAACATGGAATCTCTCAAAAGGTTCCGTGGACTCCAAGTTTAAGATGTTGGGATACTGAAGTATTATTCTCTCTACTCCTCAAGAGTATGGGGAATAACGTCACTTGAATGTTCTTTGCTTATCCCATAGACTTGGTTCCTTCTGTGTTCAGAGTCTCAGCATCAGGGGAGGGAAGGGGAGTGAGGGTCAGGGTTAGCGGTCTTGGTGACACAGCCTCTCCTGAACCACAGAACCAAAGAGTTTATAGAGGAATCCACAGCCTCATTTTCACGTGATTGCTACATCCTAACGGCTTCATTTGGGGGTGGGGGGAAACATGTAAAAATAATTGCCAGTTTGTACTTTTCTATTAGCTTTTTAAAAATCGGCTGTAAAGTTGCATTTCTAAAGAAAGAGAGAGAGATATAATATATGAATACATATATAGATTCAACTTGACATTGGTGATAACCCCAAATTCTTGCTGTCCAAATCCATGTCTTGTTTTGGTCAAGTGATTCATCTGTTAGGCCTTCAGTTCCGAATCTCGCTCATTTCTCATGCCATCCCAGAGTCTGTTTCCCACTGTGGATGATTTGGAGTACTCGGATTTCTGTGAAAATTCCCGGGAAAGGTTGAAAGTCAAATTCAAGCATTTCAACATTTAACCTGTTGATAAATGGATTCGTGGTGCAACTGAGTTTTATATGTATTTGGGGTCATCTCTAGTCTAATGCCTCAACCACCGTCAAGGTGGCAAGTGAGGTCTGTGCATGAGACCTGGCCCACTAGTGGGGAGCTTGTCTTCTGTAACTGCTGGGAAGGCTCGGTGGTCCAGTCCCACTAGCTGTGGCAGTGAGGCCAGTCCAGAAATCTGCTCCCCAGGAGCTACCCTGTCCCATCAGGGTGTTGCCGATCCCCTCAGGGAGCAGATCCACCAAAGGGACTTCTCACAGGGGAAGTCCAGCTCCTGTCACAATGGGCTGATCAGGTTTCCTCCGGGGGCTAATTCCCGAGGTGTATTGACAAGCCTGTGTGCAACCACAACTGGAGCTGGAGCAAGGCAGCCGTACCGACTGGGGGCTTGCCTCCATCCTGGAGGGAAAACACAAAGCAGCATTTGGGGAGAATCCCAGTGTCCTGCCCCCGGGAGCTCCGTCATCCATGGTGCCACCTCCTGGCTCCCACCATGGGGGTCTCCCTTTGCAGGGCCAGCACCCACAGAGCTGTGAAGGAATGTGGCTCATGTATGTCATCCTACCTCGGGATGTCCCAGGACTTTGCCCTGTATCCTTTTGTCTCTTGCTTGTACCCCATGTCTCCTTTGTCAAACGACTGAGAAAACAGCATATTTCAGCCAGGGAATGCTCCCTATGGGTTGATGCAAAGGAACTTTTCAGCTCGGCTATTTCTACATGAAATCCTTGTGACTTGCGGCCAGTGTTCTGGAGATTGGATTGAGGGAGCAAGGCTGCTTGGTTTGGTTAGTGATCCTTCGGCACACTAATCTCACCATTTGGGTTCGGGCACCCTCTGAAGATGTCAAAACCAAAAGAGGCTGCCTTTGTGGCCTGAGATTTCAATACCGATAAAACCTGTTGTAGCCACATCCACCCCCTCGGTGGTCCTGGTGACCCAAGGAGGACGTCCTAATATAAAAAAGGCAAGAACTTCCCTCCAAGGACTTTTGTTAAATGTCTCTTAGTGGATAATGTCATACCAGAGAGAGGTGCTTGCTTTTAGAAAATTCTTTACATACATATATGAATACATACATGTGTGTATTCATATATGTATTATCAAAATTGTAAGCCCTACAGAATTTCAATTTGTGAAAAAGCTGAAAGAAAAAAAAAACCCTGCCAATTGAAAGGTAATGAAATTTGACCCAGTGGGCTTCCTCAAGCATTTTTAAAAATTTACTTAAGTTAATAATTTCAGAGAAAATAACCATTTGGACTTGGTTATACTTGAGGATCTGTTTCTTCAATCCAAGAAAAATTCCAGACACGCCTCAGCCATTAGCAACAAAGGGGACAGCGTGAAGGGACAGTTCTGAACCAAAATTCACATTCTTGAGGCAACAGAAATCTAAAGGCTATTGAGTGGAAAAATAACTTTTCTCTATTCCTATAGGGAAATAGGCTTGCTTTACTTTTGTTTTCAATGTGATTTTGGCACTGGGTATATAATTCTTTCATTCCGGGAAGATTTTTAAAAGAGCCAGTCTATTTCATTTTCAAAGGAAAACAGCAACAACAATAAAAACTCAACCCTGATATGCAAAGACTTTTCCAAAATGTAAAATGGTAGGTTGTACCACTTAAAGGTACTAGAGAGAAAAAGGAATGGAGGACTCAGCATGACGCTTTCTCTGGAGAGATCAGAGAGCATCACCTCTGCATCTTTTCCCACAGGCTCTTGGCAATTGTGGGCTTGGGAAATTTAAGCTAATTTTCATTTCTAGCTAAAATGAAATCAAAATTCAGAAGGTAAATCTGACACACACATACATATATATACATATATATGTGCATTTTTGTAATTCAAACAATGTATTTGAAAGCTAAATATAAATACCTTTGGGATGATCAGTCATTCCATCCTACCTGTGCTGGGAACACATCTTTTAATGCCAGTAAATTAAAGTTGAATAAATTTTTTAAAAAATCACCACCACCTGGTACAGGCAGGGACATTTTCCCACTTTTGAAAATGCTTGTAGAATTACTGAAGTGTCTGATTACCATTACCGAAATGTCCTGACAATATACCTTTATGGTGAACTCAGATTTTCCGCAGGTTGTATAGTAGGAATTTTTAAAAATATAAAAAGAACAGCCTGAGTCCCAGTGTTGTTGAAAAAGAATGAACTATATTAAAAAGCTGAGAAAAAGAGGTGATACATGTAGTTAAGGTTGACCCCAGAGCCCAAACACAAGTCCTATGGAAATAACTGTCATGATTCTTAACAGATCAGAGATGATTTTTTTGTTGTTGCTGCTGATGCTGGGTGATTCGGACTTGTTAGCCTAACCAGGAGTGAGTAGGAAATGATAGAG